CAGGTCTAGAACCACTTCATATTATTTTTGCTACTGTCACTGACTCAGATTGTAAATTTACTTTGCATCATTACTTTTCCCTTCCCCTTACCTGCAAAAATCTATATACCAGTTTGTAACACTCATGTAAAATATTTGTAGCTTATCTTAATACCCTTAGATGACAGGAATGCTTTATTTGAAGAATAAGATGACTTGTTTTTAATCTATGAGTAATTCATTTTAAGGCTTTTAAAATAAATCCGTGATTTGCTACAAGCACAGAGTAACTTGACAAAACCAAACAGAGGGTTTGTGTGTGCAAAGGGGGAGAAAGAGACAGTGCCAAGTAATAGTGTGTAATTGCCTTTCTAAGCATGTATATTTATGTGAAAACATTGAAGATAATTTGTGATTCCATAATGTTTTTATGCCAGTGAAACCTGTTAAATGTTTCTAGATTAAAAGGTGGCAATTGTTTAGAGATAAGAAAGAGAAATAGTTGCACAAACCCTGCATTATATGATTATAAGAACTTTGCACACTATTTTCCTGTTGCCTTTTAGCAAAAAACCAGTTGCCTAATCAAGCATGAATTGGATTTCTGATTTGTTTTAAATGCTTAATTGAATTTCAGTTAATTTAATTAAGTTTTTCCTCAGGTGAGCATTTGAAACATGCAGAAGGGGTGTGTGTCAGGGGTAAAGAGGGGAGGAGAATAAAGGAGAAGAACATACTGCCACAGACCTTAAAATGTGGCTTCACAATATTTTTATATTTATAAAAGGCATAACCTGATAAATCATATTCTGTACAGCCATGCAAGAAAATACTGAAGGTGTTCTATAATTAAAAAGAGCATTTCAAGAATATGTGTGGTGATAAAGTCACTGAATTTTTCTACATATGCTGCAATGTAATTGGGAAAATTCAGCTTCAATTAACAGGGCTGTTGATGATGCCAGAGGGAGTAGCTTGAGTAGCCTAAAAGAAAAGAAGCAGTGTTCCTCCTCCTTAAAATATGACATAAGCAGTGGTCTCCTGAGTGCATTAACAAAAACAAAATCCAGAGCAGATCATAAAGGTGTCACTGGGGAGGGAAAAATTTGATATTACAGATTCAGTAGTCTCAAAACTGAGCATTTAAAGAGGGTGCATTTTAACTTTCTCCTAACAACTCTTTTATAGGTTTCCACAAACCCTGTCATACTGAAGATTTTTAAGACCATAGCAGGAAAAGGGAAACTGCCAGTCACAAAAATCCCTGAAATAATAAATAGAAATATGTTTTTGCATCATATCAGGGCCTGTTTATAATCTCCTGTAGGAAACATGCACTCCTGGCCATATTTGTCTTTGTAGTCCTGCACAGGTGTCCCTTTTTATGTTTGGGGCTTTTTTTTTCTTTTTCTTGTTGCACATGTCAGGGTTTCTATTTGTTCGATGTAGCTGCAAGGAGTAGTGACAGTCAGGTGGGTTTTCCTTGGAAAAGCAGGATTTTCATACACAAAAGGGAGCAGTTGTAGAAAAAGCAACTCTTTCTGTCTCCCTGTTGGGAGCTGCAAAGCAAGACCTGTAGTTAGACACTGTCTTCTTTCCAGCTCTCCATTTGCTGGCAAAAGTGCAGGGCAGGGACTAATCCTCTTGGAATGCAGCCATTACCACTAAATAAGTATTAATTGCTGCATTCCAAGGGGATTAGCACAGTTGAACCCAATTATAGCAAATCGAAGCTGCACTGTAAGGCACTACAGTGCATTGAGATGCAGTGAAGCAGTGTAGGACTGTCAGTCTCCAACATTTTGTCAATAAAAATTGTGGGCTTATATGTTATAAACAACAGCCTATTTCTTTTCAGTGTCTTGGTCTGAATGGCATGCCTGGCTGGAAGCTACAGCTTGCTCACCAGTGAAAATAGTTGCTTTTTTATACACCCATTATCTTTGTGTGAAAATCTCAGAAATGTTTTTAATACTTGTTGAGTTAATTATGGCACTGCAAGCATCACTCCCTGCTGGACCAGGGGCAAGGCTCTGCAGTCTGTCTGGATTCTCACATCTCTGAAGTCGGCCAGCTTCTCCATCAGGTGATGTAGGAATTAATTTTGCCTGCAAGTGTTAGCTGTATCAAATAGGCTTAGGAGAGCTCCTGATAACCGACCTGTTCTCAATCCCAGCAGTCTGCAGTGATGATTACAGGCATATCTCTGTGGTAGCAATACAGGAGCCAGAGGGCAGTGTGTAGTTATATATATTTTTTTAATCCTCAGCTTGACTGTGGTGTGGGTTTGTTTTTTTTTTTTTTTTTTTTTTTTTTTTTTTTTTTTTTTTTTTTTTTTTTTTTTTTTTNTTTTTTTTTTTTTTTTTTTTTTTTTTTTTTAGTTTTCATTTATTTCCTGTTAAAACTGCAAACCCTGCTGCTTTTTTTTATATAGTACAGTCAAAGCATAACCAGTAAGCGTGAAAAGGGAATGCTTCTGGGAATGAATCAGCCCCTTGCATTAGAGCTGTTCCAGGATTTTTTGTGTCCACAGAAAGGATGGCATATGGATGCACAGAACCAGTTGAATGTAGGCCTTGACTATTTTATGAAAGATCTTATCCTTACAGATAATGAGCTGCACCTTAACCAGCATTAAACACACTGAGTTGTACTTGGGGACCACTTCAGTTCCCTGACCCATTCTGTTTCAGGAACCACAGATCAAATATTGCAGTCTTCCCAGTGCAGGTAATTCTTGAAAATGTACTTTCCTCCACCCATATGTTTAGATGAAGAGTCAAGTTTAGCTGAGAGCTTTTCTTAACACAGCAGGAAGGGTTTTATATTTCTGCTGTGGCCTTGTCTGTATTGAGAAAAATTGCTGCTGGTTCAGCTGAACGAGGGTTGGCATTCATTTCTGGCCCAGGGTTAACAAAGTCCCTACAATCTGACTGAAGTGAGTAAAATGAAACATCAGTATGGTTTAAACTGTTGGTAGAAGTGTATTTGCAAGATTGACCAATGCACAATGTGGGCAGGAAGTGCTGAAGTTTTTACAGTGCTGTGTAGCTCCTGAGATGGAAACACTAGAAAGGCTGAAAAGAAGGTGACACTCCAAACAAACCATTCCTCACTGTAGAATTGTAAGCCTTATGAACACTGAAAAACTTTTTCCTAGAGAGGAGACCACTTCCTCTTTATCTTTTCCTGTACTGCTTGTCTGCATGTGATTTGCATCTCTCCCATGCCATGCCTGTTGTGAGAATAATTCATAATACAAGCATGACTACTCTGCAGTGTACTTTGATTACATTTGGATAATGATAAGCTTGGCTTAGTTCAAAAGCTGAGGGATGGGGAGGTGGGAATTTCTAGGGGCACTGTCATGCAAAGGCTTTTTCTGACTCTACCCACACTTCCAAATGAAGTCCATATACTCAATTTCTCTGACCTTTCCCTATCTAGACATCAAAACACACTGGCCCAACTGCTGTTCTCCCAGTGTGCCTACTGTTGCTATTAATCTCTCTTTCTTACACAGCTCTTCATTTCTTTTCCTTACCTTTGGCCTCAGCTCTTTATTCAAAGTGATAATTTGCTGGCTTTCTGCCGGAGGGAGAAGCTATGATCAATAACAGGAGGAGACAGAGGTCAGTGGAATAGTGATGAGCAGTGCCATCTGCTTCTCTGGAAACACCGTAACCCAAAAATATCAATAACTAGGATGATATTTCAGCTTTTGGATAAGGCATCAGTGAGATTGAGGCAGCCAGCAGTGAGAGCACGGGTCTTTTTTCTGCTCACTAATTCCTTGTTTCAGCCAATCTTCTGTCATGCAGAGATGTGGACAGAAAGAGCTTTATCCATCTTGCACTGGAATACAGAATATGTACCTGAGCACAGCCATTTCTGAGGCTAATGACACCTTGTTCAGGTTCAGTGCATGGCAGCTCTCCTGGGCTGTGCTCTGTTCTGGGTCAGAGACCATCTCCAGCTTTTCCTCGGAGCTTTTGGGGTAGAAGAGTCACAAAGAAAACCTTCCCCATGGCTGGGAGAGAGCAGAGACTCAGCAGCACTGCCTGGATATCACAGAAGGGTATGCTGCACTGGAACACCTGGTGCTAGACTACTACTAGTGTCTAGTACTTTTGGCATTGATGGGCACAATATAGAATGATTCAATTAAAAGAAAAGACAGTTTTATCCATGTATTAGCTTTTATTACTCCAGACCTCAAGGTGATTAATTTCTTCTAGGAACTTCAATTTACTTTGCCTTCAAAAGCCTTACATTTTGTGTGCAAAATAACTCTCATCCCACCATACTTTAGGGAAATTTTTATCATCTGTTTCTGTACCTCCTGGGGATGCACATTCCTCTTTACTTTCTAAGAATTAGAGACAGGAGAAAAAAAATTATGCATTGAGATGCTTGTACTTCCAGCCTAATCCTCAAGTGCATTATTAGTATTACTGTTGTAAACGTTAAACATTCAGTGATTAGTTGAGTCAGATGTATTTTGATGGGAGTGAGGCTGAGCTTTAAGCCATTAGTTTTATCTAAGCTATGTTTTCAAGCTTTTCTAATTCACAGTTGTCTAAAGTGAACTTTCTTTTATTAAAAAAAAAGTGAAAATTTTTATTTGCCCACATTTGGAAAGAGCACGATAATGTGAGATTTCTTACAAAACAGGCATGAGAAATGAGTTTTATATCATTAGGGGTTTAGACAACTATATTGTTCAAAAGTGACTATAAATTAGAGTTTTAAATTTCTATTTATGATCTGTGCTGCACATTGTGAATAGTTGCATAAACCCCTTTTTGAAGTCAGGTCAAAGTTGATACCAGAGACAGAGACCAGCAGCCACTGAGTGGGGATGATCTAAGAACCATCGGACAAAGTAGAAAAAAAACTCCAACTCACAGAACACCATCGTGGAGATAGGAAAAGGATGTATAACAAAGGAAACCCCAAACATGAATACTGAGAAGGCAAACCCCAGCCCTCACTCACAGGCTGTGAAGGCAGAGGAAGCCGGCAGGTGGACTCCGAAAGCCCTCATAGGAGCTGAGCCTCTTCCTGTGGCGGCCACACACCAGCACAGCCCGTGGAGGAGCCTCTTCATCTTCTTTTTCTCTTTCTTTTTCTTCTTCTCCTCTCCTGCGGCCTCCTGTCCCCAGGACTGTCCAGCCTGGCAAGATGAAGTGGAGCAGCATCGCCATCCTTGCCACCCTGCAGGCACAGCTCCCAGCCACAGGTAAAGGCAGCCTTTGGGCTTGCGAGGAGCTCTCGTAAAGCTCTTTTGACGTTTCTGTGGTGGCTTCCCCACCATTTTGGCAGCAGGAGGGTGTCTGTGTGAGCGCCTCAGCCATGTCTGTCCCCCTGTGAAGGAGGAGTGGGACCTGCTGTGTTGAGCCAGCCTGGGATGACAGCCCCTCTGGAAGGATGGGATGAGGGGCCGTTCTCCTGCTGGAGCGATGCCGCAGCTGAACAGTAACTAAACAAAGCTCTCAGCCCTCACCTGGGCCGCTTTCCCTGCGATTGCAGAGGGGAGATTTGAGACAGCGATGGAAATGTAGTCGCTTGTAGTAAGCTGCACGGGAGAGGCTTCTCATGGAGAGGGCTGGCAGGCGGGAAATGGGGACAGGTGGTGACAAAAGGGCAGGGCCCTTCCCCTCGCATCCCTGCCTTCGTGCTCCTTTCCACCAGACCCAGCACAAAACGAAGCCATTTCTTCCTTTGTGTTATTTATTTGTGTAGTGCGCAGGCCGGCCCCACCTGGGCACCGAGCGGAGCAGCTTTGGTAAGCACAGATCTTCCAAAGCCACCTTCAGTTTGAGAAGGAGGAATTTACTATTTAGGAGCATAGTAGATGAAAAGGGCAACAAAATTTACACCTGGAAAAGGCCTCAGGTGAAGCCTGAATGTGCCTTAGGCCACATCTGAGCTTGTGTTAGAGCCAAATCCTCCGGAAGATTTCCACCCTCCGTGTACACCCTGGATGTACTTAAATCCAGCAGCCTCAAGAGCTTGGGTGACTGCCACAGACATTTTTATTAGAAAGTTTTCTGGGGATGAGAGGAGGATTTTGCAGCTGCTTTCCAGTGCTGTGGAACCAGTCCTGGTGATTTGTGAGGTTTTTCTTTCAGGAGAGTTTTGAGCGAGGTTTTATGCTCTGTGGCAGGTCATGGTTTGTGTTTGTCCTCCCTTCAACCCTTGTGGCCTCTGTCCTTTTCTGATGCCCAGATATGATCCTGTATTTAAATATACTTCTCATATTTTGTGCCTTACTCTGTATCCACAGATGCATGTTATGCTACAAAAGTATGGAAGTTACTTTAGGCCAAAATCCATCTACAAAATTATCATTTTACATTTCCTCCCTTTTAACCTATCACACCATGTCTGTAGTTCAGGCTCTTATTTGTGCATTTTCAGCAGACAACTTTGAAAAATATGTAATGCAGCTTGCAGAGGTCTCTGGTGCAAAGCTCTTGGGGTATTCACACTCACAAAGAATAAATGGTTCGAGTTTTGAACTGCATACTGCTGTCACTGATTTGGAGGTGGCTGCCTGTGGATTTCATGGGAAGTATTTTTGATTGGATACCTGTAATAGTTTGAAGTATAGCAGCATTTAGGCAAAGAGTGTAGGTAAAATCGAAGAAGTATCAATCAAAACTTGTGGAATTGTTGCCACATTATGGATACAGAATAGAGAAAAATGAAAATGTAAGATCTGTCATGAATTTAGTTCAACTATGAGACCAAACAATTGGGTTTTTCAGCTCAGAGCTGTAAGCAGAAAGATTTTTCTGCTGCCTGGAGAGTTTTCAAGCGTTCTCAGAGTTCACGTCTAGAAGGACTTCTGGGGAAATGAACTTTTAATTTTTTCATGAGACAAGCTCAGAGTCAGTACAGATTCAGTAAGCTTCATACCTCCTCATAGTGAGTTAATTCCACTTCACTATGAGGTGTTTGTGCTTATTCTTTAAAAGGGCAGCTGAAAGATGCCACCAAGATTAGCACTGAGGAACTTGCAAAGCTTTTCTTTTTGATCTTTGAGTTCTGAAGTAAATATATCAGGTGTGAGGAAAAAAGTGTTTTAAAGATATTCTAGAGATGGGCCATGAATTCTGATGGAGACTTTGAATTAATTGACCCCAGACCACAAATTTCAGAGTGCTCAAATTTGGCCTTTGAGCAATTACAGAGGGAAGGCGTCTCACATTTTCAAATACACATTTATATATATATATATATATACAGGTTTAATTCTCTTTATTTCCCCTCTTCAAAGGCACAGAAGTGTACATCTGGAAATCTAGCTGAGGTCCTCCTATAACCCCTCTGTTAAAAAGTCCATGAAAAGTAATAATTTTAATTATGAGCAGATGATTTTGTTAATCATGTTGTTCGTTGAGACAAGAATATTGGAAGACTTGTACCTGAATATCACAACTAAAATAGCAAAAACCTTCATACAGTTGACACAGCTTTTGTTCTGAAGTATGACATGCTTTGACAGCAATAAAATAGTCCTGTGAGCAATACTGTAGAGCTGCCCCCCTATTTTTTTTAAGGCTGATGAGATTATGCTTTGATTTATACAAACACATGCCACACGCGTGTATGTAAATGCATGTGCAAGAATTTAAGAACAGCTCTCCCCTTTTCTACATGTCTTTACAGAATCACTTTTCTCAGAATTGTCTGCTAAATGGAACTGGACAGTGTCCTGTTTTTAGCTAACTCTGTGGAAACTACAGCAGTGTTGGTGTTTACCAGATGTTACTCGCACAACTCATTTCCACACTGTTGTTCTGCTCTGCATATCTCTTACCTCCCTCACACTGGGCTGCCATGATGCCATCAGCCTTTTTTTAGTCAGTTCAGGGACAGGTAATAGGTCTTAGCATTAATTATTTTCTTCCCTCTCGTCAGATGATTTATCTGCTCTGCAAATGACAAGATTTGTAAACCAGGAGTTGTTTACAAGCTTGTCTGAGGAATCCAAACCAGTAAATTCAGATTTTTTTGATACCATCCCCATGTCCTTATGTGCTGTCTTAAGTTCTCCGAGCTGCGTTCTTGTAACACCTAGGGGGAAAAAAATTTAAAGGCTTAATTTTACATGTTTTATTTCTTTTATTTCTCCTGCCTGTTCACAATGATTCATTAATAATTCATGGAGAAAACCCTATGAACTGGCAGAATGGAACAAAATGTAGGCAATGTAGCCTTTCTTTGTAAAGGGACGTTTGTTGAGCCCTTGCAGTGCTATGTTCAATTCTGTAATGCTTGTTACAGAGTAAGTGCTTTCTAGCTCAACCCTTCCAAGCAGAATTCCTAATCAGTGAAGTAACAAATTAGTGATCACATTCCTTTTGTGCACATTTTTTATCTGCACTAGATGGGAAGGATATACAAAATGCAGAAGGCTATCTGCAAAATATATTTCTATTTTTCCTCTGTGTGTCCTTCCTAAGTAAGACCATGTGGATAAAAAGCCGAAATGGGGTTAAAAAAGGAGGTACACTAGCAGCTTAAGGGGACAAGAATTTGATGTGTAAATGAATGTTTATGCAAGGAATGTTTTTGACAACCATTTTCTGTTGTGCACACAGACTTTGAATGGTGACTAGCATAAGAATTAAATTTTTAGGTTTTTTTTCCTTGCATATTTCCATTAGGAAATATGGATTATTTCCTAACTCTTTCCAATTTCTAACCAAACTCTCTTTCAAAAAAAAAGAAAAAAATACTTTTTTTTGCACAATTGCAGGCAACCATCAACTCCTCCTCCCCTTTTCCAACTAATCATTTATTTGAGTGTCTTTATTGAGTGTACGTAGAAATGTAAGATGCATCAGCTATTCTGGCAAGAAAATAGAGGATATTTTTAGATGGCATTAATGGAAGATACAACTTCTTAAAAATATTTAAAATGTGTATTCTGCTAAAGGTATCTACTTTCTCCGTGTGCATGTTAAACTCGTAAGCATATTGTTGAATTTTCACTCTTCTGCTGACTTCGGTCAACAGATAAATTTAAGTTTCACTGCTGATTTTTTTTTTTTTAGTGTTACGAGAACAATTTATGCTATTCTAGAGTCTGTGAGAAGATGAAATTTTGCAGCTTTTTCTGATTTGTGATGTTGTGTAAGGTAATATTTTGAGACTGGGACTTAATATTATTCTCTTAATTAACTTAAGCTCTGGTCCTTTAGTGTACAGTATTTTTAGCTTTTAATGTATGACAGTCCAAAGCAGTTATTTTCAGGAAAGCAATGAAAAAATTTATCTCCACTCTTTCCTTTGATTTATAACTTCAAACATAAAATGTGCGGGCAAATGAAAATCTTGGTTTGCAGTTCTTTGATCCATTCACCCAAACACACAAGCCTTGGAAAATAGCAAAATGCTTGTGTTCAGCCCCAAACAGTGTGCACATTCATCTTTGTGGAAGTTAGACTTTTTTCAGTCCTTTGCCAATATAACCATAAAAAATAGAAGTAGAAACCAACTAGTTTCTCAGCCTCAGAGATCACAAGCACTGGTGAGTGCAAGTTCTGCTCAAGTGATAGAAGCCTCAATTTTTGAGCCAGGTAGATTAGAAATATTTTAACTCCTACAAGTTCCCTAGGAATAAGCTATCAACCTTTGGAAGCCCATTGTGTTTTTTCTTCTCAATCCTTTGTTATGTATCTGTTAAGTCTTACAAGAACAGCAACTCTGGAGCTTTCCATCTTTCTGTGCTTTAGGTATGTGACAGTATGTTAAACATGTGCTTGTGGAGCCTGATGAAATGCTTCTACTGTCTGGCCTGTTTCTTTTGTGAGATGTATCTGTAGTGAAAACTTCACCTTTATCATGATACTTTCTGAGTAGCAAACAATTCTTTTCAGTCCGTTGTATTTTTTAAGTGAAGGAGAAGCCATAATGATAACACAACTCTCTGAAAACTCAGATAATGTGGAGGTGAAGTATATACCGAATTAGAATTCAATGGAAGCTGACAGGGGAAAAAGATTGGAAAATTTGAACAAATGATAGAATAAACAGCAGCAGAACACACTGAATAAGCCTAGAGAGTGCCCAGTTGTCAATACTTGTGGGCTATTTTTTTTTGTATGGTTTTCTTAGGAAATATCCCAGTATATGATTTACCTACAATTCAACCTGTTGTCTTAGGTGAAAATCTTAACTTTCACCGCAAATAAACTTTTCTAGTTTCCTGGTAACGTTTGCTAGCTT